ACATGAAAATGCTTGGAAAAAGTAGTTTTTATACATGTAAGTTGATGTGAAAAGTTTGAATTTTCCAACGGATTTAGTTAAAAAGATACTTAGCCGTTTCCAGACTTTTTTGTCACCCTGTATATTATATAATATTATTATATATATTATCAAAACAAATGGAAGAAACTCCAGTCAAATGTTTTATTAACAACATTTTGGAGAGAAAATAGAGAAGCCTGTTGTAGTACAATACATATTTTTGGTAGGTTTTTCGACCACTGGACGACCACTAGTTTACATTCAACGACAAAAACTATAGTATAAGAATAAGTGCTGCAATCAGTGATATAACCACTGCATATTGATATTACGCTGATCATATTGCTACCACGCTATTCTTATATGTAAAACAGCGTGTCCCGCAAATAAACAGTCAAACTCGGGAAAATGGTTATAAAGGGAGTCCCGTACCATCCCGTACTTATAGTTAACACAACAAGTGTTTTCTCCGTTTCTAATACATTTTTTTTTATTAGTTAACATATTTTAACTGTTACTAAACAGACTTTTACAAATGAAATGTCATTTTAAATCTTACGATTTATCGAAGATATGAATGATGACTACAAAGGGGTCCTTTACGGCTTCACCCACTAGCGTTTGATTAACTTATTAAATTTCCTTTCAATTATCATGATATGATGATGACGATCTTTCTTCATAATGGTTTGAATGTTAATTGTAATTAACAGCTGATCCTTAAAATTAGATTGCTCAAATGTACAAAAGACGAAATATTTTTTTAATTAGTTACTTTTTGATAACTGTAACCTGAGAGCTAAGTAAATTAATCTATATGATGTAAATTTTAAACTAACACATAATGTTTTGTAAATCAGAAGATTTATTTACCTAAGTGTGAAAAGTAAAAGGTATTAAGTAGTCATTTTGCTTCTAAAACAAGTTTTGAGCCCACTAAAATGGTCAATTTTCGCACGGGCCCCCTTGCGTCCACCTTATTAAAAACGAATTATCGTATCAATATAAGAGATGTTTACAAATATTACCCATTACACATTAGATTATTTAGCCTTATTTTAATTACTTTTTTGGTTAGAATTTCTTATATTATATTACGCTAACAGCAATAAACATAGATCATGATAAAAATTCAAGACATTTTTACCATCTTAGATTTTTAATCTTTACACTTATTAGTATTCATATTTGATCTTGTTTTTGGTAAAATGATGAAAAATTATTAGTTTTTGTGTTTAATACTTGTAGCCTAATGGAAATATCTCCAATTATTAAGTAATAACTCCAATTAATCTTAATATCAGGAAAAACAACTTCGTCTAGTGTGTTTGAAGCTAATACAGTACTAGCAAAGTTGATGCTTTAATAATTTTATTGGTTTGTGAGAGTGCACTCTAAAATCAATACTTGACTATAGTACAATGAAAAGTCACATTGAAACTTAAGATAAATTCAATAATCTTGTTTGGTTACAATGCTAGCAGCTAACATAGGTGATACTTCTTGTGATAATAAAGATATATATGTTTTTTAAATTGACGTTCTATTTTATTTTTCATTATCTGGTTTAAGAAGACAATTAAATAATCATAACTGTTTGGGTTGGATATTACGTGGTAATAGGGGAGCCAAGATTTCCTTTGCAAAGTTTTTTTTTTTTTTTTAGAGTAGCCCTAAACAGTTTTTTCTAACTCATACACCTCATCAAAACTTTTAAACATAATTTTTCGCAATTCATAGCTAAAATATGTTTCATGCAACAACCCGATACCTTCACAAACTCAGGGGTCGTTAAGATGTTGCCGCGATAACGAGAGGTAGCGATTATGTCCATGGAAACTCGGAGGAATAAGAAGATTGCCAGGACCACGGGAGGCTGTGATTATGCTTTCACTTCCGCAGATGGATATCAAGATATTGCTGGGGATACGAGAAACGATGTTGAATTCGTCACGACCCCGGATGGATTGATACTAGTGATACTGCCGCGATCTAGTGATGTCTTCGTGGACGCCAATGGATGTCAAGATTACCGAGATCATGGGGGGCGGTGATGGTAATATATTCACCAACCGAATAAATCATCACCATCATCATACATTCACCGAAAAAAGTCCCAAAAAGGTATGAATTCAGGATTAAGGTAAAAATGAATAAAGTATCCTACAATCAAAGGGATGTCAAGATATTGGGCGATCATGGGAGTTGGTGATGATCCCTTTGCAGCCGTTGAGGAATGTCAAGATACTGCCGCGGTCATGGATTATTGAAAAAAAATCAAATTCTTTTAGAGAGCTCCGGGAGATAAATAGTTATATTTTCTTCAGGTATGTAGCGGCTACCTGATGGTCTGAATGTTGCTATTTAATTTTTCTGTGTGTGGGTAAGGATATTTTCCTTAATCCTATGTAATGAGCATGGCTATTCCATCATTTTAAAATTATTTTTGTGGTGGAAAAGAATGTTAGTAATTCTGTATTGACATGTACCTGAAGTTTATAAATTATTATTATTTTTTTATTTAGGAAATTCTTGAAATTGTTGTTTTGGTGTGAGAAGGTGGCTAGTGGGTTTTTAGGGTGTTAAAAATAAACAGTATACAAGTGGGGATTGCGTCTCTTACCTTGGGAGGGATGGGCAACTGTGTGTGAAGGTGGCCGGTGGCTATTTTTGGAGGGGTTTAAGAAAGGGCCAGTATGAAAAGGAGGGGGCTGCATATCTGGCCTTGAGGGGATGGGCACCTCTGTCGTTACATATTATGATGTATTATTCACGTCAGTATTCAAAATTATCCAAGATATATATATTTTATGAGTATTGCTTCATGAACAACCTTGGGGTATTATACTTATTTTAGCTGGTTGGATGTTTCAGCTGGAACACAACCGACAAACACAAAGCTCTTCGTAGGCGAGTTTGCTACCTACAGAGCATGTATAGATGAATATGTTCAGTTGCATTATACCATCTGGAGACATTTATGATAATTATTAGGTACTTGCTGCATGTAACTAATCAAGTACGAAGTATATTTTCTGAGGCATCGTAAACATAAGTTCTTCTAGTATTTTAAGATGATCTACATGGTAAAATTTACCATAACCAATTGCCCAAATAGATTATATTGTGTAGAATTCGGTTGAGAAAAAGCTTTCCACACATTGAGCTTGTAAATATTTTTTTTTACTTTGAATTTTGTAAACCATTGGCAATATGTTGTTAAATTGATTAGATTTAAAAACTATAAACTTGTTTTTGTCCATTACTAAGGCAAATTAATCTTAGTGTTGAATAGACATCATCAATATTCAAATACAGCAGCAAAATGATCCTAATCACCAAGTTAGTCAACACCACAGCTCAGCTGACTAATTCATCACTCAGCAGCTTCTTGTGAGGTGATTTAGCTCGGTTAGTCTTGTATTAGCACGGGTCATTAGATGTCACTACTTATTTTATTGATTTGTTTGAAGATGTTATTACACCAGATCATCTGTAAGCTTAATTAAACTTGAAGTATTTGGCAACTTAAATAGATTTAGTTATCTTTTGTGGCTTTGTGACCCCAATTACTACTACTAACAATCAGAACCAATTATCTTCTGAAAATTAAATCTTTTTTGAGATACTATCGTTTCAACGTTATGTTGTCAACAAACGGAATAGTGATACAACATATGTAATCTACAACGAAACAGATAAAAGCGAGAGCATTTCATTTCTAAACAAATTTAGACTATTCTACTATAAGGATAAATCAAGAAGAGGTTGACTCAAAAAAAATACTAGAACACGTTTATTCCCATTAACCGATCAACTTGTTCATTACGATTTATGATTTAATTTTATCTTTATCAAACAAATCTCAAATAGGTATTCACTACAAAATATCAAGAACCAGAAGAGGGCGTTAAAGTATCCTATCCCATTTTATTGTTTTTATTGTTTGCGAAAAACTGTCTATGCAACCAAGTATTTCTTGGTCTCTAAAAAGACTGTGAGGTACCTTTGAGCACCCAAAACAAGACATGTATTGCATTATTTAAAAATAATGTGTATACATTTACAGTATATTTTAAATTTGTATTTATGATACTTACTTTACATATTACAATTGCGTTGATTGACAATATCGTATGTCGTTTATAAAAGGTAATATACATTTTAGATACTTGATCATGTTTTCAATTCCCTTTTATGTGTCATTAGTTTAATCAATCAAGACGATTATAAAGTGATTTAGAGCAATTGAACACCTGACAAACGATTCGTTAGAGATAATTAATTGATGGATTCAAAGCGAGCGTTTAAACAAGATTCAGGAAATTATATCGCCAAGCACTTCCTATTTAAGATGTCTAATGTTATTTATTCTACACATGATTCTTCCTTCTTCAAAAAATTTTAGATACGGTATTGAAAAGCAAATGTTTGAGAATGTTTCATACTAAAAACACACATTGGTGCACAATCGGTCTAAAAACCAAAACTACTCCCTTACTCATAAAATTAATAACTTTTATCAAATATGACAAAATAAATCATTTAGTAATTATTTTGTTCTCATTGAAAATGTGTTCTATATTCAAAGAATTCCCTGTATATAAATTTCCTTATAGGGTAATAGCTATTACCGTAAGTGGCATTGTAAGACCCACACCCGGGACCGATTTAAGCGAATTTCCCTATAGGGAAGTAGCTATTACCGTAGGTGGCACGGTAAGACCTAGGCCCGGGACCGATTTACTTTTTCATTTTGATGTCCCCAGAGACCAAAAACACCATTCGTAAAAATTTTTATATATGGATACATATATATATATATATATATATATATATTATATATATATATATATACCTAAGTATACATCTATTAAGTATACATCTATAAAATTAGCTAGGGAAAAATATCCCAGAAAGAATTTAGAAATATATGGTAAAGATTTGGATTACATTAGAATGATATACTGTATAATACGTAGACTTTGTAAACTATATATTACAAAACAGTTCAAACAATCGGAACTACTGTAGTTCGTTTAGTACTTTAAATGTATTCTTAAAGTCTTCCTTGTTTGCTCCAATCACCTTCTTCCTTTCTTCGTACTTGATGAACTGAAAGGTTGGCACCTCCTCAACTTTGTACAAATCCGCAGTATATTTCAGTTCGTTTACATCCACCTCAATAAAGATAGCATCCTTGTGCTGTTTGGCATATTCTTCAATAAAGGGTGTTATATCCTTGCAATGTTCACACTCTTTTGAAAGGAAACTTATCACGGCCAGTTGTCCGTTTTTGATAGCCTCATTCAACAGATATGCATAGTAACTATCGTGAATCACAACATGTATGGAAGCTAGAAAACATTAACATTGATAGTTAGACTTAGCTGAAACGTGAAGGATACAAAACATTTATTTTTTAATGTTCTATGTTTTATGCTATATGTGTTTTGTATGTTAACATGTTTTTGGTTACTGATATACGAACTAAGCGATGATAGCAAATAATTTGCAACCAATAATTATTATAGGTAGGCTAATTAAATGGTATTAATTATCTACAAAAGAAATAGTAAATGCCAAAAAAGTAATTGAAACAGTGTCTTACGCTTGATCTAAAATTAATGTAACACATGTTGACTGATATTAATTCAACTGATAACTGCGGTGTTATCAGTTCTCAGAAACTCTGTGCTTTATTTGGAGTTCTTGAAGCTGTTTTGTGATATTGAAAGTCGTAGTCTTCATTTTTGTTTAGCAATGTATCTGGTTTTCAATTATGATACACCAAGCACGTTAGCTAAATATTTAGAAATGTATGCGTTTGAGAAATTGATAATGAATCACCAAATTACATTTGGTGGATTTGTTACTTCCACAGAGTTAGGCAACTAATGAATCAGAATTGGTATGTTGGCTGGTATTAAGTTCTCTAAATATTTGTTTGTAAAGGATCTGTTAGTGTAACCGATGTCTTTGTGGCAAGACGGCACACACGTTATTTTTACACACTCCTTCCATGTTTAATTTGTTTTTTATCGTAGTGTCCGTTATTTTGTAATTTGGAAATTGTTTTGTTTTAACTTTTAAATGCTGGTATATAAGCATCTTTTAGATCTTTATTTTTTTTTATTGATGTAGTTAATTGGTATGTATAGTGTAGGTTCTACTGTTTTGTGTTGTCCGTTAAGTCATCTGAAGTATTAATTTTGATTTCCTGAAGAACTAACTACATTTTTTTTCTATAATGTGAGGTTCTTCAATAATTGTTTGTGGTTATCCTTTATATTATATATTTTAATCGGTATTCTACTTTGCCGAGACTGTGGTTTTAGTTTGTACAATAGAGACCTGAAAGCTGCCACTTTTCGGTTCTAAGAGTTGTTAGAATCAGCAGGGATCACGAGATCGGTTTGGGTGAGTTTTTCTGTACATTTTAATTTATATGGTTGCAAAATTGTTTTTCGTGGCAGGTACATCAATGAAGTTCATAAAATTGCTGCTTTTAAGGTCCATTTGTATACTAACGTGTGCTGTGTTGAAACGTTTGACGAGTAATTAAGCTTGTCTGCTATCATCATTCAAGATGAGGAAGGCATGATCGATATATCTGGCATAGCATATTATTTTATGACAATAATAGGTTTTACATACGGAGGTCAAATAGTCCAACAACTAATATTGTTCATCAATCATTATTATTTAATGGTAATGTACTATTTATACTATTAGAATATACCGTTTTATGTTGAAAAACGAATTAAAATTACTCGTACCACTTAAAGCTCATAAGGAGGTTCCTCAGTGTTTCCTAGTCCTGGTTTGGGAGCTCCAACAAGTAGGAACAGTCTCTTGAAATAGTTAACTAGCAGACATACCTGGCTTCACAATGTAAATTAAAAACAGTGTAGAATAATGTAGTTACCTTCACTCATTTTGTAAAATTTTTTCGCAAAGTCTGTTTTGTCTGTTCCTATCGTCGTCTCCACTATGCTTTCACTCTCGCTTGCTCTTTTCTTGATGAACTTAAAAGTCGGCAGACTTCCTACGTCTATTTTGTACTTGTTTGTAATCTTGTCCTGTTTGTCTATATCCACCATAAGAAAGATAACGTCCGGAAAACGTTTTGCATATCCAGTAAAATAGGGTTCGATAAATTTGCAAGGTCCATACCATGTCAAGAAGAATTCAATCACGACCATCTGTTGGTTCTGTTCGGCTTCTTTCAACTTATTTGAGAGGTATATTTCGCTTGTCACAGTATGAATGTTGGCTAGAACACATTAATACTTATAGATATACTACATACTTGAGGAATACAAGCTTTTAACGATTTGGTTAAATATATATTGACCAAACTACATTAGCAAATTACATGTAGGCTGATAAAATTGTATTAATTATAATATAAACTGTCTATGACGAGAAAATCAATCCTAACAGTGTTGGGTTTTATATTTAAATTAATGGACAACGTGTTGTCTCTTTTTATTGCTAACAAAAAAATCTGCCTGATCGTAAAATAACTCCTTCCAAATTTATTATGTAAGAATAAAATAGATACTTAAAGCTCACAAGGTTTTGGTTCGTTGTTTTCAAGTTGTGACTCAGATTTTCCAGACCGTTTTTTTGAAGAGGGCCACCAGCGGGGAAAAGGTCCCTGAACGACTTGAAGCAGTATCATCTAAAAAAATATCTAAAGCTGATGTAACAGTGATTTGCAATTGAAATAAAATTCAGTATAAAATAATTTTATTTATTCATATCGTACATCACCTTCAAATTGTAATTTTCTCAGAAATGGTAGCCTATCAAAGTTAAATGAAGTTATTCAAAAATAGTCTCTTCATGGGACACCCTGGATAATATATATAAATGAAATTACAGTTTTGTCTGTACATTGCGTAGAATCATGCAGTTTATGGTTATTTTTACGTTTCATAGCCTAAGAAAGCCGAAACGAGTCTCATCTCAATTTCTATCTGTCTGTCTGTTTGTCTGTCTGTCTGTTTGTCTGTCTATTCTGTCATTCTGTCTGTGATAACAAAATGTCATTTTACGCGGCCTACTCCTAAAAGTTTAGAGTAACGATCAAGGTTCAAATCATTTTTCTGTATTTCCTGGATTGGCGAGAGTTTCTTTGGCTATAAAAACATGGCCTCGCTTCTTTGAAAACAAAATAACAAACCATCAAAAACCCAATTTTGTTTGATTTTTGTCAAATTTTCTCCCAATGTTTACTATTACATTTTATAAAATAACGAACAGCTGTTTGAATCAATTCTTACTTTTAGCTGTCACTGATATGCTTACATCAAATGTTATTTACAAATACCATAACCATTTCCGATCACGTTTTGTAAGCACATCCAAACCAAGTGAGATTAAAAACGCTGTGCCTTACATAACGGATTTAAATAATCGCAAGTGCAACGATTGTTCTTGAATTTTGATAACCGAGTAAGGGATCGCGAATCAGTGTTGTATAGGGCTGGGAAATTTAAATTTTTTTTATAATCGTTGCCAATAGCTTACAAACAAGGTTTCCACTCATTGATGGCGCTTCAAGGACAGTTATGTTAAGTGCAAAGTAAAAAATCACAACTTCAGTGGGTGATCGCGGATGTTGCTGCGATTTCGGAAGAACTTTCAGATTTCACTGTGATCGTAACAGAGGTTTAACTTACAGATGTAGCTAAACTCGTATTTCCAATGTGACGCTTTTGGTTTCTACTCACCTCTTTGTGCTGCAATCGCTGGACCGTACCTCCAATCGTGGCCCATAGCCCATCTTTTAGGTACATAGACCTTATTATTCATATACAGCCTTCCTACTTAGGAAATAAATCTATAAATGTCAAAAAACTAAGCTTTGTGCGATTTTCGTCACATTTCCTCCTAATGTTTGCTAGATACACCATGCATTGTTTAGAGATTTAAGTCATCTATTAAATAAGAAACCTTTGTTTGGATAACTGTCGTCGATATGTTAACCTTAAAAATTGTTTACAAAAAATAATGCTAATGATGAAAAATAAATAATGCGAAATAAAAAAAAACTGTTTTTAAATAAATAAATAATTATAATTATTTAATAATTAATAATTATTTAATAAATAATAATTACTTAATAATTAATAATTATTTAATAAATAATAATTACTTAATAATTAATAATTATTTAATAAATAATTATTACTTAATAATTAATAATTATTTAATAAATAATTATTACTTAATAGTTAATGATAATTATTTAATAAATAATAATTGTTTAATAATTAAATAATAAATAATAATTAATTATATAATTAAATAAATAATATTTATAAATTTATGAAATGAAATAAGAAACATAAATTAAATAATAATAAATAATAAATGAAATAAATAATGAGAAATAATGGTCAAACCTACCATTCAGACTAATGTTAACTTTGTAAAATATTACGTATCTTCTGATTGTTTTAAAAATATAATGTTTGTGTCAAAGGTTTAGAAGTCGTTTAGCTAATTTATTGACATTTTTTCACTACTGGGCCAAATTTTGAAATATAAATTACTGATTGATAAGTAATATAATGAACACATTACGATAGCAGATCTACTTAGTTGAAACTTATTAGTTGAAATTACAATATATACTGTAGTTTATGATATGCTTTCTAGTGCAAAGTTGAAGAACTAATGTTTATTGATACGTTTACATTTACTTAGTAAAAACATGGAATATATAACACTACTAATGTGTTACATATTCAAAGGTAAAAGACAAAAATCTGGGACAGGAAAATAAACAGAACTCAAATTTAGTTTAACCTACAATTATTTTAACCTTTGGTCCGTCTAGACTAAAGCTATAGTTTGTTATGTATTTTCAATATCTTAGTAGATGGATTATTATTGTATATCGCTGATTGATTCGCAATGATTTACATTTTTTAGGTATAAATAAGTGTAAGGCGGTTTAAATTTCCAGTGTGGGTTAGTTCATTTTCACTTAACATTCACTGGGTTGCATGTTTTCGTTTGTAATTTAGAAAATTTTGGTTTGGGGGTTTTATAAGTTTGTATCTTAGGCATACATAATTGCACATGCTCTTCCAGGAAAATTACTTCGCCATTTAAACAATCACCATTTCACCATTTTTTCATTTCACTAACGACCAAGATACAACAATTTATGAGAGACCGAGCATGGTCCAGACCGTCACGCCATACCTCACCAACGTGACGTGGCGCGGTGCAACAATGGGAAAAATTAAAACATCAATACATTCATACGCGGTCTCACATATATTGTTATATCTTGGTTGTTTATAAACCGATCTTTAAAACTTAGATACCGTTGGATTAATTCATAACATTTCCTAAAAACGCACACTCTTTTTGCTAGTGCTCGTCTAGTAAACAGTAGGTTTCCGAATTAATCTTTAGACAATTCACTGGCCTTTTGATGGTTTTAGATTGGGACCGCTGTATTTGGCATTATACTGTAATAAGCGATATTCTAACTTATATTCAAATTCCTTATGGCAAAAAAAAAACGGCTGGTCCTTAAAATACTCAACATGTTTGCTTACAATAATATCAGTAAACTATCAGTAACTATCAGTAAAAATACTTATGGGGGGGGGGGGGTATTTTTCAGCAGCTCTTGTCATACATTCAGCGTATTATGTCATTTGGACGAAAGTTATTTTCAATTTCAGCTAGTCTTTTACATTATTTGTAGTTTTTTACATTATTTTTGCTTGGTGACCTTTTCTGAGAATCAGACATAACCTTTCACACAAATTTTGTGTCATGGCAATCTGCTAATTTCGTATCATATCCGGAATTGTTTTCCCCTTTCACCGCGACTGAAATGATCAAATGGGGAAATGATTATTGTTTAAATGGCGAGGTAATTTTCTGGAAGAACATGTGCAATTATATATGCCTAAGAAACAAACCTTTTAAACCCCAAACTAATATTTTCAAAATTACAAACGAAAACATACAACCATCAATCAGTGAAAATTATCTACCCACACTGGAAATTTAAACAGCTTTACACTTATTTCTACCTAAAAAAATTTACCATTGTGTATCAATTACCGATATATAACAATCATCCATCTACTAAGATATTGAAACCCTACAACAATCCATAGGTTAAAGAAACAGGTTTAGTCTCGACGGACCTTAAAATAATTGCGTGAAGGTTATACTAAATTTGGGTTCTGTTTTTTTTCTGTCCTAGTTTTTTGTCTTTTACCTTTGAATATATAACACATTAGTAAAGTTATTACTTTCTCAGCCTATACATAGTATACTGTATGGAGAATGTATTGTTTTCGTCAAAATTTTCGAGTTTTGAGTTTTAAAGGGATATATCCGTTTTAGGTCCCTCTGAACCCCAAAAAAGTGGTTTTCGAAGTGATGTCTGGGTGTGTGTGTGTGTGTGTGTGTGTGTGTGTGTGTGTCTGGATGTGTACAGAGATAGAAACTACGCCTGTGGTCCGATTTCGATGAAATTTTGTGTGTAGGTTCTAATATATGGTATCCTCAGGTGATTGTTTTTAATTTTTTGAAGTTTTTAATTTTTAATGTATATTTTTATAAAAACCCATAATATCTATTACTTATTTAATACGCAAGCAGGATTTTTGTGACAATTACTCCTCCAAAACTACTGAACCGATTGACATGTTGTTGGTGTCATTGGAAAAAGGGTAACGTGAAGTTGTGCAGGAAACTTTCTTTTTAGGGAAATAATGAGAGGTTGAGGCCCTGGAGCCCTTTAAAGTTTCGTATTTCTCCATAAGGATAACATGGGAGATAATCTTTATTTACAGAAACATATGTTTGTTACTTGAAAATAGTCAAAGTCTACTACATAATAATTTCTGTGTATTATGACTCTTAATGTATACCTACTACATTTCAATCAAGGATTGTGTACCTTAAGGTTTACCCATAATGGATCTTACTACTTTATTTTAATGCTGGGAATAATAAAAATTAAGTGGAGAATAAGTTACCATGATTTAGAAAACTTTACTATAATAATTTAGTATTTAAATCACAAATCTTTGACATTATTAATTCATTTGAAACTAAACAGCTGATCGACAAACTAAACAAATCATGTGAATAATGTTATTACACAAACATAGTTTTTTTAACCAATATCTTGATTCTTTTTTACTTGTTGGTGTATTTTGAGTTTACAGTTATGAAAGCACCAAGCCAAGTAACTTTTATCTAATTTTCTTTATAAACTAACAGTATTAATGAATAACTATATGAACTTGACAAGGCAGGTAATTAATTGTCAGTATACCAAGGGGAAGAAGAGTGGGTCCTTGAAAACAGACGAAGGCGGAGAAACCCATCTAGAAAATCCAACTGAGTGTTTAAATATAAAGGTCAGTGGATTGCCAAGACACAGATTAGACTAATAAAAGGGGGCAGTGGATTTATTGATGAGGAATATTGATACATCAAAAAGGGCTTCATTAATGGCACAAGGCTTCATGTGATCAGAACGGTTAACAACTTAATATAATGTAAAGTCTTAACTGGTGAAGTGAGTGGGGATATATTTTGATTTCGAGGATAAAAATTCCGTCTGAAACAAACTTACCTTTTAAAATGGAAAGATGCTAATTTCTGTTACATTTGCCATTTGCAGCGTTCTTACAAAGACCAATTCAACAATTTCACTCATGAGCAACTATATTATATGTTGTTTTAAATAAGGCTTCATCTTTTAATTAATAGGATACGCATATTCGTTACGGAAAACTCTGACCAGGGTAATCTTCCTGAAGGTAACTAAAAGGCTAAAATCATAGTATTCATAGAAGTGCTTTTGTGATAAAAATATTGGTTTTTAGTGTTTATTTTTAAAAGTGTGTTTTATTCAAGCAGCATTTTTATGACCCTCAAAATATGCTACATAGGCCTATTGGTTTGATATGATAAAATGTTTTGTTAAATGTGTTTTAAAAATCTTTAAAAAATAACTACCCTATAACCTTGCTTGCTGCCTATAACATATTTGAACTTGAACACTTATTAATTTACTAAATATAATACACATACAGCTAGAAAATGACTGGACTGCTTCCTTTTTAAGGCTTTTATTATTACTGTATTTAATTTTCGACGTCGGGTCAATATATAATACGATGAATTTGTTTTACGTTTTATAACGGAAAGATCGGATTTTTTTTAAATCGCCCGAACGATTTTGATTAACTTTTAGTATTTTGTAGCTCTTTAAATTCTGAACAAAATGGTATGACTCCCATTTCTGTAAAAATTACGGTTCAAAATGTATTGTAAATTAGGCTATTTTTCCATAAAAACTCCATAAAATAACGAAAAAATCGATTTTTTCGAAAATGGCTAAAACGATTTTCTTCAAAATGTAGTATGTTTAATTCCTTTAACTTCTGAACAAAATGGTACAAATCCCATTTCCGTAAAAAATGCGGGTCAAAAGTTATTGTAACTTATGTTATTTTACCATAAAAACCATAAAATAACCAAAAAATCGGATTTTTGGAGCTAAGCTGGTTTTAATCAATATTATTATGCTATGGTCCTTATAATTAAAAAAAAGTACAACACCCCATTGCTGCAACAATTACGGTAAGTTATTGCAACTTTTTTGATTTTAAACTATAAAACATCATATTTACTCTCACCGCTTACCTATAATAAAGGTTGTTAACAAGCTTATGGGAGAAAGTATGTGTCAGATTGCTGATACCGTTTTTTATTCATTTTTTTTACTAAGTAAATTTAAACCTATCAATAAACATTAGTTCTTCAACTTTGCACTATAAAACCAATCATAAACAACTGGTGATATTATAGTTTAGTTTCAATTAACCTTATAGTTCTATGGTAATGTAGATTTGCCATCGTAATGTGTTTTACATTAGCGCAACGCTAGGAGCCATTCACATACTGTATTTTTTGCTGATGTTTAGGACATTGAAAACAAGTTATTCGTTACCACAAAGAACTAACTTGTTAGTAAGCAATAAATCCTAGTTTACAGCTTGCAAAGTATTAAATTGAGAAAAGTCAAAGTTCAACTCATTCTTCTTGTATAAAGCTCAGTATTAGATATATTTTTACATCTTAAGCCGTCGTTTTTCGAAGCATCTCTAAAGTATGTTGAAGTTGCCAATTTAAAACGTTTAGATGCAAAGTTACGATAATCCGTGTAAAAAAATTTGTTCGTTTCGTGACGGTAGATTTATTTTATTGATACAATCTTCTCTTCTATCGATAACTTTCACTAGAGAGTGGAATGTGAGATCTTAAAGGTATGCTCTGAACCATTGGTTTAAGAAATAACCTTTAGTAAATTTCCAATGGTGATTTGTGGGATTCAATCCGGACACCAGGGCAACCTCATTTTCCAATAGCTACCTACACCAATGGCATCGGATTTGAAAATCATTACTGAATCTTTATAACAAAATCTCACCAATAAACCCACCAAAGTCGTCTTCTGTACCATTCGCTGGTATTCGCGTTGAAACATTTAGATACTTCTGTGGATAATTCACACGTTCAAACATAAATTCATACCAATACTTCAGAAGTTGAAATGTATCTTTATGATACCTCACGTGTTGAAAGATTTAAGTTATCATTCAAAGGCTCACTGTGGCCAAGGTTGGTACAGACTAGAGAGAATCACTCGGTTGCATAAAGCAGTTAACAAACATTGCACCACCGTTCTTGGTTATCCCTGACCAACATTCCGTCATTTTGGATCACTGGTCTCAGCTTTCGTGCAGCTTCCGGTGTCTGGGCTCCGCAAACGGGTACAGACTGGTCGCGCGGAGCGGTCAAAAATCTGCCAAAACTGGCAGACCGGTTGCGCGGAGTGGTCAGTTTAGGGTAGTGAACGGTTGAATGATTTCTTATTCCCGTTGTTTTAACTACCTCTACCACTTAAACAAACGTATATACCACTAACTTCTCAATATACCAAAATTTAGGAACTTAATATAGGTACTGGTTGTTTGAGTTTCAAATAGGCCTACAGTTCTCGGGCCCTGAGAGCTCTTTCCCACCGGTCTTTGAAGTTCCAGAAGTAGTTATAGAAAACTGGTTGCTGTTCTGTATAAGGTAGCTAACTTAAAACTACTTATAATATGATGGAGTTTCTGAAACTTTTACTCCAATTTAAGATGTAAGTTTTCAAAAATAAAATCGACTGTTATAGTGTATAAAACTAAAAACTCAGATTTGTAAACTTTTGAAAGCTGGACACAAGTATCCAGCCTTTCTTTCCATCTCGCGTGGACTAATTATGCAGTACAATACATATTAACAAAGCCCAATAATTTTGCATTCCTCTAAAACACATTCAAATTCAGAACAAACCTAGGAGTAAAATTGATGTTTTGGGGAAACTTAGTTCTTTAAATTTACGCCATAACATTTCTACCATAGCCATGCTACACCTAAAAAATAAAAAAGTACCTCATTAAATATTTGCACAATATCAAACAATCTATATTATTAATACGCTACGTTAAACTTTGTGAACAATAAGGCTTTTTCGCTTTAGGATTTAATCCCACATATAATATACCAAAATGTTCGTCTAGGTGTGAAGATGTGCAAACTGACCTTTCATTTTTTTAAGTCCCTTGGGATCTGCCCCAGTGGCTTTTAAAGTTCCTATGTTATCCTTATTAAGGACATATTTGTTTACATTATGGTCATCTGGATAATTTAATTGCTCTTATTTTTGTTGCAATTTAAGGAAACGTGTGCTGCAGAGATTTGCTGACTTGGTTACCTTAATTCAAAAAGTAAATATTTCACTTTAACCAAGGTTGGCGTAAATATTACAATGGAAAAAAAGTAAGAAAGCCTGGACTTTTTAGTGATTTAACGAAATAATAACGGAAAATTTGATTATTTTTTATAAATCGAAAATGGTCGATAATGGGCCACATTTCTGTTTCTCATATCAGTCTACACAAGATTTAAAATTAATCAAAACCAAAACGGTGGTATCCACTACTTACCAGATTTAAAAGTCATAACTTAAACGTTTCTATTAAGGCTATAAAAGTTGAATTTTGTTTCCAAAAGCGTTGGCGGATGTGTAACTATTATATGCAACAGATGTAAAGATTAAAATATTTCTATTTTGTGTCCTCTGCCCGTTGCAAAGCACGGGTTCAACAGCTAGTAGGGAAAAAATATGTCTTATTTATGGAAATATTTTAGTAAAAATGTAATCAAACAAGTTGAAAATCGCTTAGTCTGCAGGTTTTCTGCGGCGGATGCATTTATTATTTTTAATGACTGGTGTATTTCAACACTAAGGTCATGGTCACAGTCTTTCGCCATTTTTTTTTCACATATTTTAGGTGAAAGACTGTGACCATGACCTTAGTGTTGAAATACATCAGTCATTAAAAATAATTAAAAAAAGGTACTATGGTGTATTATTTATTAATAAAATAAACATCTATCGAAAATGGTCGATAATGGGCCACGTTTCTGTTGGAAATGGTAATATTTTCTAGGTCGTTTAACCCGAAAAAGGTTCAAATCCCACCAAATCACCAATAGATGTTATCTAAGTAATAATGCCACAACCCCTATGTCTAGCCTGAAGTAATGTGAAAAACAATCCCGAGCTCGTGCCTAGCGTCCTAGAACAAAATAAAACCGAAACCATTTCACATATTATTTTATTCAATTATGTATAAACTTATGTATTACCATGGTATAGGAATTAATTGTTCATGGTTTTACAGTTTTAAAAGCTCCCTGTAAATAATGAGAATATAATAAATATTATATCATATAACTTACCAAAAAGGTTAAATGGAAGATCAACATGTTCATAGTTATGACACTGGGCTAGAGATCCACTGAATGTTACAATTATTGCTGCACAGATGGTGTGTAGCTCGATAAATACATAGAATTATAGAGGAGGGATTGTTAATCACTAGTAGATCACTTGCAAAATATAAAATGAACGATAGCAGTAGAACTGCTAGATCATATGACATTTATTACTTTTAGTGAATTTCTCATATAGGAAATAAGATATTAACTTAGGTCTCATGGAAAGACCCAGAACCGATTTACTTTTTAGTTTTATGGTCGTTTTATGGTTAAAAATCTAAAATAATAGTGGTTTAGTTACCTTTACTTTCGTCCCAGTTCAATAAAAAGTTGTAATATCTACAACCATGGTTTCGACGCTAGTTGCGTCATGGTCACGTAGTTAGCAAGTCGAGAAGTATCTTGTCATAGTCGGTCGCTTGGACGTCGTCATATTTACACAAACACGGACACGGACATAAACACACACGTACATTGATTAAAATAAAAGGTTCTCGTGGACGGAACACAGGCCTGTGGTGAACAGTTAATTTGTACCGTCGCGGGAGCCGGCAGGAGAACACTCAATGTTCTAAATTCTTCAGGAGTGTTTTATGTACTTTCCCGGGAATTGGTGAGGGTCATATCCCACTCGACAGCCTTAGCATTAAAATCCCCACCCACGACGACGTGTCCTGTGGTTTTGCGTACGCTCTCTTCCACGAAAGTCACGGATGGCCTAGTTGGGAGTGAGGTAGACGCTGAAGTAAGTGACATCCCTGCACCAAACCCAAACGAAACCTCGGCCCTTTCCGTGATCCCTTGGCTTTGCACATGTACTTTTGCTGCATTACCCAGAATGCAGCAGTACCAAGACTATCAGGGAACCAAAAATATGGCTCGGTACCGGTTTTGTTCGCTGACCAAGAGCGCGTCAACATCGTGTTGAGGGCAAGCGGACCGAAAAGTGCGTCAGCCGTCCTGGGTTACTCAAGGCAGAGATGTCGTCACTTTTTTCGGTGGTGACATCTAAACCTTGGAGCTACGAACAAAATGGTTCCGCTCCACTTCCAACGTATTTTCTTGCTCATTTGAGCTGATAATAAATAATTATGTGTTTGTGTGATTTTTATTACAAGCCATCGTGTTTTTTCCAGCGGCAAGCAGCGGCCCGGAATCGGTCGGGTATCCCATTGGGGACAAAACCCCCTACCTCAGTTCCCCTGGGCCCGACCTCCGTTTTCCACTGGATAACTGACGTTGAGGGGGTCGCCCGTCGCAATGCAGAGCTTGGCCTCTACATGCCGCACTCCCTGACCAAGCCCCAAAGGGGCTGGTTGCTTGACCCATTGACCCACTGAGAATACCCATCGGCAGTGGACCACAACAGGGGCATTCCCAGAGACTCCCAGTGAGAGCGTCGATCACCCTTTTGGTCGCCTCTTACGACAAGCCCGAGAAGACTGTGGTCCAATTCTAACCCAATACCGTACGGGGAACAAAAATAACAGTAATAGGCCTAGTGTAGGTAAAACTAACTATTAATCATACATTACTTTGCAGTTTATGAGTTTTTCTCAAACTAATGCGACCATAGCAAATATAGTTGCTTTTTGTAGGGTTGAAAAAGCTAATGATTTGAAAGTAAAAAATCTAAGATGAAGCCTAATGTCTAAAAGATTATTATCATAACACGAAAACGCGTCTTTGGATTTCCTATATCCTACTTTTAATCAAGCTCTTAGATCAGACCTTATAAGTAAAAATACACTAATACACATTGAAGATTAATTTGAAACGTATTTAGTATGAACTTGATAAGCATGAACCTAAATCATTGATAGCTAAGGTGTGAAATAATTATTGAAATTCCTAGTTCAAACCGTAAGAAAATTGTATGACCAACGTAAAATAATTAACTGTCATAAATTCATATTTGCAAGTATTTAACGTTTTATTGTAATTTTAAATCACTCAATTGCATCACATACACAATCATTATATCTTAAATCACAAGTGAACTTCCTGAATTTTTGTTTTAGTCTAAAGTTTATTTTTGTTGAAAATTCCGTAGTTTTTCGTGAAAATATGAATACTCATTGTTAAATTACGATGATAACTAATATATACGTTATAATGTAATAGAACCGTGCATAGACTATTTACAACTAACCCTAATGGTTTCCAATATTAACAAATTAGGGTAGTTTAATATATATTCATAGTTTTAACTTATGTCACGAATGGTTTATATTCAAAATACAAATAATATAGTTTTCTAAATGTCTAAAAGTTAAACTTGTTATGGGTGTAGTTTCATAGTTTAGCTCGCTGGAATGTCGAAATTATCTACATATGTTAGCGAATCGCTTGACACTTGACTAATATCAGATAATTAATTGCAGATGATTAGGGTAACTATTAAATTTAGGCCTTGAACGTATAATTTCAACTGGCATAAATTTACGCCCAGTTCAGTCCAGTTCCACTGACTTCAACATGAAGACCCTTCATCATGTTTTCGAGATATGCGTGCTGGTAAGTTTGACTATCCTTTTGCTGAACTTAGTTATTCTATACTCCTGAAAGTATAAAATAACTTAGTTATTTTATACTTTCACACAAACAATAAGTTAGTTAAACTTAGTATAGTCAAACTTATTTAAGTATAGTTAAACTTAATTATTCTATACTTCTGAAAGTCGTATATAAAAAAGATACAAAAAATACAGCTACTAGGATTCTTTGATTATGAACATAATAAACGGTATCAGCATTCGGACACATACTTTCTCCCATAAGCTTGTCAACAACCTTTATCATGGGTAAGTGTTGATAGTATGTAGTTAATAAAAATCACAAAAGCTGCAATCACTTTTAAACCGTAATTGTTACAGCAATGGGTTGTTGGACTATTTTTTAGAATTATAAGGATCATAACATATTAGTTTTGATTAAAACCAGATTTTCTCCAAAAATCTGGTTTTTTGTTATTTTATGTTTTTTTATGGCAAAATAACATAAGTTACAATAACTTTTGAACCGTAATTTTTACGGAAATGGGATTTGTACCATTTTGTTCAGAATGTAAAGGAATACAACATACTAGATTATTTCGAAAATCGTTCAGGCCATCTTTTAGTAAATTAGTTTTTTTTCTGTAATTTTATGGGGTTTTATTGGGAAATCCCCATTAAAAATCAAAATTTCAAAAAAATTAAAAAAAAACCCTCAATGTTTTAAGGACCTTAACATACCAAGTTAAAACGAAACCACCTTTTTCTAAAATCCTATTTTTTGTTATTTTATGGGGTTTTTATGGGAAAATCGTAACATAATTATTCCACTTGATTAGTTTGGGTAAAACTAACTGTGCTTTTTTAATTCAGAGTTTCCAGACTAGCTGTAAAAATATGATTTGTTGGTGGCGCACTTAGACCCTTATATATTATATATCCGGACGGCAATTATTCTAAGAAACTAATATGCACAGCCCTTATATTTCCTTTCACTGCCACCTACCTTAGTTACACATAGTGAAATATAGCCTAAGTAGTAAACTGAATACAGAACTATAATGTTAAATAAAAACATAATTATAACTTTAATATTTGGTTTCAAGTAAATTTTACGTTGGCCACACTAAAGTATGCGTCTGTTTCAGACATTTCTAGCATGGGAGGCCACTGCAAAGGTAATGAGACTAATATTAGGTTTAAGCATTGAGTTTCAAACCAATTTAATATATTGTTTCGATATAATATTTTAATATAAGCCACAGCAACATGTTAAGGATATAATACACTGGACTAACCAATTTGTTTGTCTGTATTTTAAGTGGAAATTTATTGTTTTGTAAGCAAAGCGTCTGTGTTAATATCGGTGAGCTTTTACTTCCTCTCAAATGTAGCCCCTGGTGGTGTGGGTGCCGTTTGGTTACCAATTTAGAAGAAACTTATTAAATTTATTTTACAGGTTTTATATGAATAAGTTATGGATTTGATTTTAGAGTATTTTGTAAACAAAAACTTAATAATAAAAAGTAAAAAGTCCTATCTTGTCATTTTGGTTTAGAGAAATAACAAAAGCTGTTAGGTGAGGAAAGCTGAAATCCAGACATTGATTAAATTATTAGGTACTAAATACTAATGATTTGTGAAAAACCCTTTAAAAAAAAATGTGATGGTTTAAAATTTGAGAATATTATAAAAATAATTATGACTTTTATTCTGAAATAATACTAATGTATTATTAATTTTGAAATTAATGTAAAGTAGGCCTAAGTAGTTTTCACTTGATAACGGGAGAAGTTTATCCGCCTCCAAAACGTTGTGCATTTTTAAACACATGACATGTTTGTAGTAGTCCAATTTAATAGTGTAGTAACAAAAACAATCAAATACCAACTAATATAAACACGTGTGTGAGAAAATATATTTGAATGGCAATGAATATACTTTTGGTCAAATATATTGGAATTTGTAGAACTCTCCATTATATTCATACATTCATTATTTCCAGTTGGGAATTCACTAGTTTATTCTGCCAACTAACAATATTTTGGATTGGTTTAGGATGCAAAATTGATTAACGATTTTATTACTAATATGTTTGTTTGTTTACAGAAAAATATGGAAACCATTAAATTTGAGAATCAAGTAAGTTGTTAAAACCAATAAGACGAATGAAAATGTGCTATAATTTTATAAAATTATTTTAAAAGTGGTGCGCCCAAAAATTAAACTTTTACACATAAGGCCTAAGTTATCCTAAGTTTTTCGGAATAGATTATTGTATCGGCCGATTGTAATTTTGGCCTGTTTAAAATCACATTGCAACGCATTACAATACATATTCCCTTAAAATTACAAATACATTTACCACAAAGTGTTTATTATTAAACAATACACTATTTAAGGTGAAAGAAAATATGGGTTTATACTTGTGAGGCAAAGATTTATAGTTAGGCATCAAAGAATCAAATATCATCAAATTCAAATACAGACCTAAACTGTTGTATTTTAATAAACATAATTGTAATGGCAGATTTAGTATAAACTTCTTTAATGACGTCATTCAAAAGTATAATGCAATTAAATTATAATCCAAATTTATTTAAACATGTATGATATTTTTTTTATGTTATACTCTACCAAGTATTGCACATGTATGAAATCTCATTTTCAGGTTTCGGTGGTACCCACCAACTCAGAAACTAGGAGAACGAGGGAAAGGATGGTGAGTCTAATATTTAGATTCGTTAATACATTACTACCTCTTCTTTATTCACTTGCCCTACTTTCTATTATTCATACAGAGTGTCCCGTAAATCTTAGGAGACATGTATATAGCGTTATTGCTTAGGTCAAGACAAACACATTCCACCATAGGAACAAGAGTCTGTGGTGTCTAGTTTTCCGTCCGTCTATGAATTTATGTATGTGTTTTTGTACAAAATATTTATAACTCCTTAACGGTTTGAGATACAGCGTTGAGATTTCGCAAAGATGTTTATCTTGTTAATACCTGTTTTCGTTTAAAATTATACTAAGTAAACCGTTTCAAAATGGCGTCCATTTAAAACATTTGATGCCAAAAGTAAAAAAAAACCGTTAACTAAACAAAAGAATTGCAAGTGGCATAAAAGTTAGTACATTTTATGTAGTTTTCAATGATACCTTATTTGTTAAGATTGGATTAATAATGACAAAGAAATGTGTTCTTTTCGTAATGCATGACCACTTTTCTCCATTTATACAATGCCAATGGGCCATTCTTAAATTAAGTGGAATTTTTTGTCCCTCTATGTTTTCTACCAAAAAAAACTAATTTTTATAAACTTGATATTTTTTATAAATGAAGCAAGATTGTATTTAAGAGATCCCAATGTTATTTTATTAAAAATAATTGTATGTTTAAGAGATAAAATTTTCAAAGTACCCGAAATGTAACCACCATGGAATGTCCCCAGCCATGTTTCTTAAAACACTGACAAGTGATTTATGAACAAAAATCATTGAATTATATAACAAATTCTCAATATCATTAATAAAAGATATAACCTAGACTTAACACCATCTTAACAATTTTACAAAAATATCTAATTAGCTTAATTTAAAGATAAAAGTTGTCCACGGGGTTGGATGTAACCTCCATGGACCATTTTAAAGTTCTAAAAATGCTCACTGGAGATCAGCACTGTTCATTGGTGGAGTTTTGAGGAAGATGGGGGAGCCATATTGAGATTTCTGTTGATCGTTTTCTGCTCATGTGTCCTACTTGCTATTAATGAACAGGATTTCCTTTCTCGCAAGGCGAGTACCTTTTGCCTTGCAACCTCCATGTGTGCAACAAATGCATGTCATATGCTAAAATTTTAACTTTGACTTTTTATTTGGGAGTCACTGTTATCTTTCATAAAACATAAGCTCAGGATATATGAATCTATAGGTTAGGACTTAACAAGTGACTGAACAGATAAATTTAACCTCCATGGAGGTAACTCCCATAGATAATTACTATATATAATATAGCATACTATATTATATTAATTCTTGACCTCTACAAAGGGTGTATATGTATTTAGTTTGTTATTATAATTTAAAAAAGTATATTTAAATAAATATTCTCTCATAAAAAATAAAAAAAAATCTTTGGCGGAAATCCCACTTAATTTTAGAAGAACACTCCATTATATTCATACATTCAATATTTCCAGTTGGGAATTCACTAGTTTATTCTGCCAACTAACAATATTTTGGATTGGTTTAAGACACAAAATTTATAAACGATTTTATTACTAATATGTTTGTTTGTTTACAGATAAAGTTTAAACCCATGAAATTTGAGAATCAAGTAAGTTGTTAAAACCAATAAGACGAATGAAAAAATGTGCTATAATTTTATAATTTTTTTTTAAAGTAGTGCGCCCAAAAATTAAACTGTTACACATAAGGCCTAAGTTATCCTAAGTTTTCGGAATAGATTATTGCATCGGCCGATTGTAATTTTGGCCTGTTTAAAATCACATTGTAATGCATTACAATACATATTCCCTTAAAATTAAAAATACATTTACCACAAAGTGTTTATTATTAAACAATACACTATTTAAGGTGAAAGAAAATATGGGTTTATACTTGTGAGGTAACGATTTATAGTTAGGCATCAAAGAATCAAATATCATCAAATTCAAATACAGACCTAAACGGTTGTAATTTAATAAACATAATTGTAATGGCAGATTTAGTATAAACTTCTTTAATGACGTCATTCAAAAGTATAATGCAATTAAATTATAATCCAAATTTATTTAAAAATGTATGACATTATTTTTTTAGTTATACTCTACCAAGTATTGCACATGTATGACATCTCTTTTTCAGGTTTCGGCGGCATACACCGTCTCAGAAACTAAGAAAGTGAGCGAATGGAATGTGAGTCTAATATTTAGATTCGTTAATACAGTACTACCTCTTCTTTATTCACTTGCCCTACTTTCTATTATTCATACAGAGTGTCCCGTAAATCTTAGGAGACATGTATATAGCGTTATTGCTTAGGTCAAGACAAACACATTCCACCATAGGAACTAGAGTCTGTGGTGTCTAGTTTTCCGTCTGTCTATGTATTTATGTGTTTTTTTACAAAATATTTAATAACTCCTTAACGGCTTGAGATACAGCGTTGAGATTTCGCAAAGATGTTTATCTTGTTAATACCTATTTTCGTTTAAAATTACACTAAATCAACCGTTTCAAAATGGCGTCCATTTAAAACATTTGATGCCAAAAGTAAAAAAAACCGTTAACTAAACAAAAGAATTGCAAGTGACATAAAAGTTAGTACATTTTATGTAGTTTTCAATGATACGTTATTTGTTAAGATTGGATAAATAATGACAAAGAAATGTGTTCTTTTCGTCATGAATGACCACTTTTCTCCATTTATACAATGCCAATACTCCTTTTACATTGTCTAAATATTATCTTTACAATCATCCGTTATCCGTCAATCAGGAGTTTCAAAACAAAACATGAGATTGAATAATTTGTTTTTGTTATTTATAAGTATAAGTTGTTGATTATTATAAGTAACATTAATCTTTCTTTAAATAATTAAATAAAAAACATTAATAATGTAACAATTTTTTTGTAATTATAAAATACAATTGGATAATACAAGAGGCCGCCTTTACTTGCAACAACTGTTCAAAATGACAACCGTTATTTATAAATAACAAAAACAAATGATTCAATCACCTGTTTTGTTTTAAAACTCCTGATTGACGTAGAAAAGATAATTGTAAAGATATTCAGCAAATGTAAAAGGAGTATTAACATTATAGAACAGTGCAATTAGCTTAAAAAAAATAGCAAACCGGGACATAAAAAAAGTTTCTAATCAGCGCCAAATTGTTGAATACACTTCTCTGAATATGTAAAAAAAAGTTACACTTATTTGAGTGTCGGGTTTGGGGGGGAGGGGTGAAAATCCGGTGAAAATAGGACTTTTTTACTTTTTCGCAAATACCTAAAAAACGGCCCGTTTTTTCTCAAAATATAATGAACTACAAAAATAATCTGCATTAAATTTTTAACAAAATGATATCATACAATAGCTATCTACTATGAACGGTTCAGGCGATATTGAGGGGTAAATGTGATTCTTTCTAAATATTCTAAAAAAGTTGTTTTTTAAATGGAGGAAAACCATGGACACCCATTAAAAAATTTCTAATGAGTGCCAAATTGTTCAATAGACCTCCCTTAATATGTGTAAAAACGTTACACTGATTTGTATGTCGGATTTGCGAAGGAGGGTTTAAAGAAAAGGGAGGGGAATGGGACTTCTTTTTCTATTTTACAAATATCTCGAAAGCGGTGCGTTTCTATTGATGTATAATAAACTACAAAATAAATCTATATTAAAATTCGAACAAGATGATACCTTACAATACCTATCTACTCTGAATGGGTTAGGAGATATAGAGTGGTAAATGTGATTTTTTCTTTTATTTCTAAAAAAAATTTGTTTTTTAAATGTGGGAAAACCAGCAGGTTTAAAAATAGGGAGACTCGTAAAGGGTGCGTTTTTTTGTTTATATACTGAATTAAAAAAATAATCTTTATGAATTTCAAACACAATCATACTATACAATACTTATCAACTATGAATGGTTGGAAAAATTGCATCTACATTCTAATAAAATCATAAAATACGTTAAAAATATTGATTCCGTTGTTAAAAAAATGGCCACCATTTTCCAAAATGGAACCTAACTTTAATATTGGAACCTTCTGTATTTTATGGTCTGTTTAGGATATTAATTCGTTTTAAAAACTTATTTGTTCTTTGCATTTTCCCTCTAAACTTACTCGTTTATGAGCTACAGGATGCGGAATGTACACAACAAGCCTTTTTTCATAAGTGTAAAACGCTGTAACTACTAAACGAGTAGCTTTAGAAAGAAAATGTTAAGGAAAAAATGTTTTAAAATCGCATTTACATTCTAAAACAATCATAAAATACAGGGTGTTTCCTAAGAAATAACAAAGTTGTCGGCCATATTGGAAAATGGTGGACATATTTGTAAAATTCGAAACCATCTCAAAAAACATCTTAAAAAATAAATGGGAGTGCCCTATAAGAAGACAACTCTATAACTCATAATAAAAATGTTAGCTATTGGTTCACTTTAGGTGAGACACCCTGTATACAGGGTACACAAGTAAACAGAAAAAAACAGCCAAAAACCAGGAAATGGTTCTATAGGTCAAAATAAAAAGAAAAACTGAAATAATCTTTTTCCCAAAATTGCTTTGTTAACCTGATATCCACCATTTTGATTTTTTTTTCAAATAAACATTATTCTATCTTTTTCAGTTTTTTAACCGATCATTGTGAAACTTGGTATGTGTGTTGAGGAAAAATAGACCCACGTTATAAAAAAAATTATCCTAATCCAATTTAAAATTTAAAAATGGCGGCCATTAATATTTTAATTGCAAAGAAATGGCTAATTTTAAGAAAAAGTTCTAGAACACTTTTATTTAGCTTTTAAAATTCCCTATCAAACGACGCCAAGATCGAATAAAAAATAACTGAAATATCACGATTTTTAGTTGTAAAATGAGGCAAACCTGACTAGCGTAGCCTTGATCACATTAATTTTACAACTAAAAGTCGTTATATTTCAAAAATATAATGTGAAATACAAATCACCTCTCCTGCGGCTCGTGCGTAAGCATTTCTCTCGTGTGCAGCAAAGTGCCACTTCGCCCACCAGTTACAGAAATAACTATTGTAACACGGATATTTACTTAATAACTAATTAATGATACAACACACTGTAGCCGAATTCCCAACTCCACTCATCAAAAGGGTGAAGCCCTTGGAAGCACAAAATCAATGGTGGGATTCCGGCACAATATTGCTGAGGTGGAGGACCAACAATGACAACACAAGAGCTGGCTGGACACAAATGTAATTATTTATCCAATGTTAAGAAATAAGATATCATTGAGCACTACATCAAATTTAATAACTTTTTTGTCACTTGCAATTCTTTTGTTAAGTCAATGGTTTTCTTGAAATTTGGCATCAAATATGGGCACTTTTTTGATGATTTTTTAAGTACAATTTTAAACAAAAATAGGACTTGATAAGATTTAAAATTTTGCGAAATCTCAATGCTGTATCTCGAACCGTTAAGGAGTTATAAAAACTGTTGTAAATACACATAAATACAGACAGACGGAAAACTAGGCACCACAAACTCATGATCCTATGGTGAAAAGTGTTTGTCACATACCTCAACCATGTGACAAACACAATAAAATAAATACATTGAATGTGTTTTTGTTCAACCTAAGCAATAACGCTATATACATGTGTCCAGAGAGTTACGGGACATTCTGTATATCATAATTGGATAAAACGAAGTGAAGTACAATGATCAGGCGAATGATTCGCCTAATGGGTCTGATGATGATTGGAGTGTCCAATCGAAATCGATCACCAATTACCAACTTTTATATGTATTTACCGTCTTGTAAGTCAACAGTATAAGTGTATAGACGTACTAGTGTACATCTTGCTCGAAATCGAGCAATCGCAAAGAAGTACTGTAATGGAGGTATTTGAAAACAAATAATAACTTATAAAACCCAGAACAAAAATATATGTCATAAATTCCGATGAGTTTAAAAGAGTCAACTCAAAGATTACGTAACTAATGATAATACTTACAATATACTCAATGGTTCAATATAATCAACATTTCATGTAAATATTTTATCATTGTTCCAAAGCTGATCTGGCTTTTAGTGTATTGTACAAATGTTTCCCACTTATAGCGGCAATAGGTTATCAATGTTGGTCTTTATATTCAATTGATAATGTAGTCTGCCTGGTATCACCCATTGTCGCCAGTACGTTTACAAATTTCAGTCTTTATTTTAATAGCAATGAATAACCATTAACTACCTGATTTTCTGCATAACCTCTCTGTCACAATTTTACAATTAACATATGTTCTTCTCACTTTTAATTTCTGACAACAGCTGTAGTTTTGTTACAATGTTTGTTTCCCATGCTAATCTTATGGAGAAATACGAAACTTTAAAGGGCCCCAGGGCCTCACTCTCTAATAATTTACCTAAAAAGAAGATTTCTTGCACAACTTCACGTTACGCTCTTTCCAATGACACCAAAAACATGTCAATCGGTTCAGTAGTTTCTGAGGAGTAATTGTCACAAAAAACCTGCTTGCGTATTAAATAAGTATAGATATATTTCTGTATTTGTCAGGTATTAGGTTAAATAACGACTTTTGTGGTCGTGGTTGTTCATTTGACCAGCGTCTATCTTACGTTAATTTTGGCTTCTGCTTATCAACAATAGACAGCAAAAAGATAGAACAGACTTAGTTTAACAATATGGTACATTAATAAAGGTAATACATTTGTAATATAAACGCCCCACAGTTATTGGTTACACCAATTATTTTTTTTTTATTAAAAGGTCTTTTTTATAAAACGTTTTTATTAGCTCGCTTTCTTGTCCGGTACAAACTTTGCAATCAATTTTATACTAACTTCCCGATGAGCTAAACACCCTAAAAAGTAGAAAATAATTTATAAATATGTGGAGAGTATAAATACTTGTAAGATTTAAAACAAAAAACGTGGGGTGCATGCAATAGATAATTCACAATTACCTTCACCTATTGAACTATTGTACTAATGGGGTACATTATTATCAATTGCATGCACCCCACGTATTTAGTTTTAAATCTTACAAGTATTTATACTCTCCACTTTGATTTTTTTTACTAACTTATATTGGATGAAGTTCTGATATAAATATTGATTAATATGTTTCATTCATTATACATTTTTCATATATAAATAGTTATTTCTGTTAACACCAAGTT